TCTAGTGCTTTTTTAATAGCGAAAGGGCTGTATTGCGAAATTGTTATGGAGGGATCAGTTGGAGAAATCACAACATATTTTTTGGCGATAGGAACGATGCTACTAGTTGGCAACACCGGAAATTCGGAATTTTTAATTTTTTTTCTTTGAGGGGATACGTCTGCTAATAGATGATATCTATTCGAGTTTTTATGTGGCGGCCCCGGGGCCATTATGCCTTATGGTTGTCTATTATTCACTTATTTGTGAAATAACCACTCACTTCAAAAGATTTGGGAAACTACTGATGATAATGTCAAATGTTTTCAATTTTTTTTTTCTTTTTCGGATTTAAAGGAAACACGTACGGTATCCGCGATGATCAGTTTTAGCAATAAACACACAAAAAGTTCAATATATTTTAATAAATTTGAAAACTTATAAAGCAATAAAGAAGAAATTGCAAAATTTTTTTGCACAAAGAGAAAAATATGATCACAGCGCTTGTACAGAGTCGCCGTTGATGTAAGAAAGGAGAACTATATCGCGCCTTCTTTTCAAAAATGAAACAAATTTTTGAAGCAAACTTTTTTCACGAAATTGTAACAACAACAGTCAATTCCAAAAAATTCAATAAATTTATCTTGCCATGTTAGCTTAAATTGAGTTTACTTAACGACTTCAAGGTAAATGGTTTGGAAGTATTCGCTACAATCAACTTCTTTTAACTGCGTAGTGAGAAATTGTAAGTCAAAATATTGGAGCAGATTTTGGGCAGACTTTTCATAAATTCCTTGCAATGAAGTAAAATAGAGCATGCCACGGTTTTTGCTAATTTAATCACAATAAATATAAAAGTCAACTAAACAAAAATCGTTACAAAATACTCTCCTCGTAGCGACTCCACAAAAAATTTTTATCATAAATATTCTTAAACTCGTTTTTAGGTCGATTATGGAAAGCGTTTATAAGAGTATTTATCAAAAATGATGCAATATGTAATATAAATGTAACTAATTGCAATTATTGGCGATTTTTTAAGTTTACGCAAAAGTTGCCGGATTTTGAGGTGAATTTGAAATTATTGTAAGCTTGGATTATATGAAAACTTAACCAAATCAAGGTAAGTGCCTTTTTCTCTGTAAACATTTTTTTTTTATAGTATTTTTATATATATATTTGCATATATTTATATGCTTATATAGATATATATATTTTACTCAAAGAAGGAAATATATACATATATATGCCCCTTTTCGGCATTTTCTCCTGTACCTAAGTTCCGTTGAATAAGAGTTACTAAGCAACGTAAGCGAAAACCTACGACTTTTAAAAAAACTTAAGATTGCACTGGTTTATTGAAAGTGGTATAGAGTGCAAGATAGGCGGATGATAGCAGGAGCGATAATAATACAACGGGCAGGTGCATACCTGCATTGATTGATGGACATGTGACCAGCTTGTAGTTTTGAAAATAATTACTTGACGGCCTTCAATAGGTTTGGGTATTCGTCACTCGAATTAAAAACATAACAAATAAGAAATTTATACTCGGCTGTGGCATGTATTGTATCCATCCCTTTCACCTAAAAAAAAAAATATATATATATATAAATAAAAAAATAAGTAAGTAAATAAAAATAGAAATTTGGGGTCTGTATTATAGCGTCGATATGGCCTCTATCATGCTTGAAACTTACTTATTGTCTTGTAATCAAGTCCTTGGATTCAAGAAATCGCTGAGTATTAAAATTACGACATACTAAATTCGACAATACTAAATAAAAATTAGGAATTAATTTTTAATATTTTGTAAAGACAACTGATTTATGATAGTAATTTGAGATAAAAGACATTTAACTTTAAAATTGGACCAATAGACATAAGCTGTCAAAAAATAAAAATGATGATTACTTGACGGATAAAAAGCAATCGGCTTACAATACGAATTTGGCTACGATATGGCCAGAGGGGTAATTAAAGGCAATTTAAATGAACGGGAGGACTGCTGGGTTTGTTCCTTGCGAGACGAAAGAACAAATCCGCGTCCCCTACATACGCCAGATTAGTCTTCGTATTTATACTACTAAGCCTTGAAAGAAACGTTCGACGACAATTTGACACAAATTTACGAAATCAGTAACCAATGCCTAAAGATGATAGAAAATCTATTAATATTCGTTGGAGGTGCCCGGCTTAGTGAAGCCCACATAATCTTTTCGTGATCCGTTTTTTTTTTTTCTTGATTTAAAAATTCATTTATTTTTCAGGTATGCTTACGGACGGCATGTAAACGTGACGTCAGAGTTAGTATATTTCTAACCTTTGGTAGTGGCTATAAAACCATACCAAAAAGAAAATATGTCAACAAACTCATCAACAAAAATGCAAAAAAAATTCCAAAAAGCGTGGAGGGCAGAGTATGATAATGTATTAAACAAAAACTAAATGAACATTAACCTTAACCGAATTCCCAAGTCATTAGACGCCAAAACAGAAAAAGTGTAATTAATATAGCAATCACAAAGCCATAATGTCATGTAAAAAGCAGATTTAAAAATTAGTACATCCTTAGGCGAATAGTTCTTATAAATTGATGCTCCTTTTTTAGACTATTACTGAGAGGTTAACACTTGTCCTTGAAAGGTAATTACTACATTACTGTTCACCCCTAGCACAGAACGTCTTGATAAACTAGCGTAAGTCCTTCGATATCTGCCAAGAAGTGAACATTTTTTAAATATTTTTTTCCGTCGATTTACTTTACTCGTTGACAATGTTTAAGTAACATCTCTTATTACCTGCTCAACGCAATTATACATTGAAAAAGCCGACATTGTAAACTGCAAACTAGGATAATATTGCTTCGGAGAGAAATTAAGTTACAACGATACAGTGTCAAAGAAGGAAAAGAAAACAAACAATTAAAAAAATGCGGGAAACAATTTCCTAATTGATAGAAGCTAATTAATATTTTGTAAGAAAATACTTAAACTCAAGAATCCAACTTGATTTCGATTTTTTGTTCAACGTTTCTGAACACGTTACATATGAACACTACGTCCATATATACGGCATCCGTGAATAACAATTTTAATTTCTAATCTATTTGTACCGTATTTAACAACACCTATAAAATGAAAAGCAACTATAAGTACATCATAATATCAGATGCGAATGGTAAACAATTTATGGAAGTTGATAGGCCTGCCAGAATAGGGGCCTAAACTATACTATTACATATAATACAACGAAGCTATGAACATCAGACAATATATGCTATGTCCAAACCATCCGTAGTAAGTTTTGGATCCCGTGCGTATGTGACTTAATCAGACCTAATTGTCAACTTTGCAAAAATACAATTGCGAATTCCAAGTCGAGTTTAACACCAGCATCATCGTTTAATGCCAACTGCAGGAGAAGGGACTATTTGCTATTGATGGACGTTCCAAAAACGGTTTCTTTTGTTTAATATTCACCTCGAGCTAGCGAAATATCTAACCACTGATACCGTCTCCTTGTATATAAGTAACTTTATAAAACAAAGAAAAACGTCAGTCCACATATCCATTATGACAGAAAAATCAGTTTTTGTGGGAACTAATAAAGACCATGAGGATTGGTTCAAAATTGAATGAAAGTGTGGGATGAAGTGAGTATTTAAGTCAGTTCAACCATAGTCAGGCATCGCATGTCACAAGTCGAAACGTTTTGTAGACTACTGTTTAAGGCATTGAATTCGAGTCCAATCGAGCATTTTCTAGTGGAAAGCAACGACGATGAGCCGTTAATACCAAATCATTTTTTGTTAGGATGCCCTATCTGTATCCTGCTTTCGATATCCAAATCTACAGTAACGCATCTTGCGCCAATTGAAATGCACATTTCGAAGAAGGTGGGAGTAACATTATCTACTACAGCTGATGCGCCGATCAAAAGTAGGGCCAATTAAGATTAAAGATGCCGTAGAAAAAATTTAAAGTTCGGGCATTCGGCTCTAAAAAGTTGTACTATTTATGCTATGAGTAAGTTTTAGATTTGACTTGAAATTGTAGATTATATTTTTTCTGAATTGTTAACGTCTTACGTAATGTTGCTAACATGTGCAATAATTCCAATAGTGAAGTTTTTATTATGGCTCTGAATGATAAACAATTGTGTAATGAGTAATAAACAATTTTATTCTTCTTTCAATGTTTAAATTAGAATTATTTTATTTACTTTACTTTAATAAAGCTAACACATTTTATTAGTATTGTACGCGCATTCCATTTTTTTAATCTAAAGAACGAAAATAGTTATGTGGTAATTGACAAAAAAAAAGTACAAATAAGGATAAAAACGCCGCACACACCGTTGATTAGTCGCCCAAGAAGTTTTTCTATTTTTTGTTTAAGGAAACTATTTTTAAGGACTATGATCAAGAAAAGACAAGTGATGCAATTTTCTTGTTTAGATCGAAAACTTTTTAAACAATCAATGTAGATACAAGTTGTCCCTAAATATGAATGTAGCTCCTGAAAATAAGTAATAAGAGGGTAGAGATTTGAGGGTCATTAAACTTTGGATTCGATAAAAGCTCAACAGTTCTATTTGAAATTTAAAAAACTTAAGAATAAGGCAAAGATTGAAAACTGTTTTTTTTTAAATATTTAGTTGGAAATAGAAGACCGCAAATATACATATATATATATATATATATACATATATATATACATATTGCATATACGAAATGCATTGCTTATATTTATATATCTAAAAGGTTGGGTAAGCTGGAAAATATTTGATCAATGGTTGAAGAGTAGAAAAAAGTTTTTATATCAATCAAACTCTAACTCCAGATGAATAATAAGGTCTAGGAAAAATTACTTTAAAGTTACTAAGTGAAGGAGATGAAGTTTGAAAACTGCTAATTAATAAAAACTATTCCAACATATTGTAATCAAGTGATTCGGTCTTAAATATGCCACTCGCTATTCATAACGCAATAACGAAACAATGTTTTCTTTCTTTTTCAGATATCCACTTAAATAAAGACAACATGATACTACATCAGCGACATCTATCTAACTTTTATAAAAAATGCAAACCAAGCATTAATTAGAAAAAAAAGACTTAACCTTAATACAGATAATGTAAGCTACTACGGATATATAGCATCCTAATAGATTTTTATTACAGACCACCACAAAAATATTATATATAGGCAAAGTAGCTTTGTAAGTTTAGATAAAAAAGGAACAAAAATAAAATGTCTAACATTAAAACGGAAAATGCTAGCGGGCTAGCTATAGTAAATACTTCCTCCGCAACGGCAACGTCTGGAAGCGGCAATTCATTATTTCAATTGCCGGTCAATATGAGCAATCATATTATGACCGATCGAACCTCGTCCATTATTACTTCTACTACTACAACAAATCGCAATATTTCTGTAACAAATATTAAATGTGAAGTTGACATCGATGTGGCTACATCAACGGCTTCTAGTGGAAACACGGTATCGATAGGATTTTACAATGGAGCTCGTGTGGCAAACTGCACCACCGGCTTAGGCATTCGAATACCGGTGACTAAGGCCGAAGACTCCGATTCAGAGACGGAATTAACTAATATTGAAAATCTTAAAGTTAATCGTAGAATAACCAGCTCGAGTGGTAATTTAGGTAGTGGCAATCATCATAATGCACCACGGCCTATGTCTTGGGAAGGAGAACTTTCGGAAAATGAGGATACAACCGAAGCCGAATTAATGGATACGGATACCACCATGAGTAATAGTGCTGTGTTACAGCCACAAAGTTCGGCGACGGTCATTAAAAGCGAAGTATCAACTACAACACCATCCACTACGCAAACTGTAAAGCCTGAAATAGAACAAATAGCAGTAGAAGTTCACCACCACACGGCAGCGAATAGCGGTGGCATGGGTAGTATTTACCACCCCAAATTAAAATTAGCACCTACGCAAAGTGATCCAATCAATCTAAAATATGAGCCGCCTGACCATTCGGGTTTGAATAATTCGCCTTTGTTAGCACGACAGAAGTCAAGCACAGCTTTGACTCATCTGCCCGCTAATCCAAGCCCCGACTCGGCCATACATTCCATATATACACATAGTTCACCTTCGCAGTCACCATTAACATCTAGACATGCTCCTTATACTCCGTCGCTGTCGCGCAATAATAGTGATGCTTCCCATAGCTCTTGCTATTCTTATTCCTCAGAATTTAGTCCTACGCATTCGCCTATTCAAGGTCGTCATCCTGCGCCTCATGTTGTATATGGTAGTTACAATGGGTCAACACCCGGTAATATGCATCATTCCACTTTACTTTACCGGCCTATTAGCACGACAGCCAATTCAACAGCTTCTGCCAATAAATTGGAAATGGTTGGGAATGAAGTACAGAACTTAAGTATGGATGCAAATGGCTCAACTTCTGCGTCTAGCGGTCCTTTTAGTATTACCACAGATGTGAATGGTTTACCTACTTCACCAGCAGCTGGAATTTCGCGGCAACAACTAATTAATTCCCCGTGCCCTATTTGTGGAGATAAAATTTCAGGCTTCCATTATGGCATTTTCTCATGCGAGTCATGTAAAGGTTTTTTTAAACGTACCGTCCAAAATCGCAAGAATTATGTATGTGTTCGGGGTGGACCATGTGTGGTAAGCATTACCACCCGTAAAAAGTGCCCGGCTTGCCGTTTCGAAAAATGTCTTCAAAAAGGTATGAAATTAGAAGCAATACGTGAAGATCGCACCAGAGGAGGACGTTCTACATACCAATGTTCCTACACATTGCCGAATTCTCTAATGAGTCCAATTCTAGCACCAGATCAGCAACAAAATACAGCACAAAGCTTAATAAATGCTCAAACACAACAGCAACAGTCGCAGTCTCAAATTCAACAGATGCCGCAACAACCGCAACCACCACCGCAACAGCAACAACGTTTAGTCGCACCTTTGCAGAGTAGTTACAACAGCACTTCCAATGCCAACGGTTATGTTCCGGGACTAGGATCCAATATTAAAACTGAACATTCGGTAATCGCTCCTCCTGCCTTGAACAATATTAATTTGAATTCTAGTTCACGCACTCTCATTCTAAACTCCTCTTCTTCCGCTGGTGACAACGATATACACGACAGCAGTATTCCTACTCTTTTACAAGAAATTATGGACGTGGAACATCTTTGGCAATACACAGTTGCTGAATTGGCGCGACTCAATCAACCGCTGATTTCACCCCCTTCGAGTTCAACTTCTTCAAACACCGTTTCCACAAATGTAGCAACACCGAGTCAAATGACCAATCCACTGCTGGCCAGTGCTGGCCTCTCATCCTCCACCAACCCTGATTTAATAGCACATCTTTGCAAAGTAGCTGACCATCGTTTATATAAAATTGTCAAATGGTGTAAAAGTTTGCCGCTATTCAAAAATATATCGGTGAGTGAAGTAGGTATAAAATAAAAATTTTTTTTTTTTTTTTTAAATTTAACAATTAGAAACCAAGCAATATCATGAGCGTAGGGAATTCACGTAAGTTCGACTTAACTAGTTAATGTCTTGTATATATCTGACAGAAATCCTGGGAAATGTTATTTTCAAACACAACATAAGGCTTTGCAAAGAACACCAATGTCCAAATGAGTCAATCTTGCAATATATGCGAAATCATTTTTATTTTATTTTGGGAAATTTCATTTTCCCAAATTGTTACTTGCCACGTATTACGTTTGAGTCTAATCGATTCCGGCTGTTTCTGTAAAGAGAAGACATCGATTTTATTAGAAGTTTTTTGACCAATTGTGGCTACAGGTTTATTATTAGGCTTTTTACATTTAATTAGTAATTTCTTTCTTAATGTATGGTCTAATGATTTTACGGACAAAATGTGACTTGCAATGCGAGCCGCGAACTATCTGCGGAAAAAACTCTAAAAGAGTCCTTTTTGTTAAAACTGAAACGAAGTTTGAGTATGGCTTGAAGTCTAATGCCAGATTCTGATATTGTTGTTTACAGATTGACGACCAAATATGCCTGCTAATCAATTCCTGGTGTGAGCTTTTGTTGTTCTCTTGCTGCTATCGGTCCATAGATACACCTGGAGAAATTAAAATGTCACAAGGTAAAACTGTTAACTTGGCTCAAGCAAAATTAACTGGTTTTCAGGTGAGATCTATTTTCATAGTAAATTATTGCACAATAAGCTAAACAATTAAGTTCATATTCTAGACCTGCATTGAAAGAATGCTGAATCTGGCAGATCATTTAAGACGTTTAAGGGTTGACCGCTACGAATATGTGGCCATGAAAGTGATAGTATTATTGCAATCTGGTAAGCTATAAAAAAAAACTAGTGTAAATAAAAATAAAGAAAAATGTAATCAAATTTTTGTAATATGTTTTCAGACACATCAGAATTGCAAGAACCCGTAAAGGTTCGAGAATGTCAAGAGAAAGCTTTGCAAAGCTTACAAGCTTACACTTTGGCTCATTATCCGGATACTCCTTCCAAATTTGGTGAATTACTTTTACGTATACCCGATTTGCAACGAACGTGTCAAGTGAGTAATAGATGGAGAAAATGAAAAGATGCTTTTTATGTTAAATAAACATGTATTTCAGTTGGGTAAAGAAATGCTTTCTATTAAATCTCGTGATGGTGGTGATTTTAATTTATTAATGGAGCTTTTAAGAGGAGAACATTGACAAATGCCTAGGAAATTTACCTTTCAGCCTCTTGGTAAATTTGCAATACTAAAATCACTAATTAAGTGCAAGTATATACCGCAACGAAACTACTTTCTATCAATTAATGGAATTTATCTTTCATTAATTTTGTTATTCCGTTGATGATTTTTTTTGCTTATATTATTTTTGACCAGTGAAATTGATTTAAATAGATAAAAATTTTATTTGTTTATATGGCTTCGTTGTCCGCGATTCTGTCTGTCAGCATTGGGTTAAGGGAAACGAATGGAGATAGCAAGTTTAAATTTGCCTTTATCTAAGTTCTGTGCAACAAGTGTGATCCGATTGTAAGGTAAATCGAAGTGTTTTACACACATTTATTATATATGCAATAATAAATTTAACGAATTTATCAAAAAAGGAATTTGCGCACATTATTACATTCACTTTTGAAGAATAAGAAAATGCTTCATTTTTCGTTAGTGAAATGGAAACTAAATGACTCATAAATGGACAGGTTAACGTAAGATCCACAAGCGATTGGCCTAAGTACACCTGTCCGTTATCTGTTGTAAGATTTTTTATGGTCGCAAAAAACTGAGATAATTAACTGAAGCTTTGCACATATATTTTTCTTTAAAGAATTCAAATCTATATCGAACGTGGTACTTTAAAACATGTGACACAGAAATTTTGCGATTATCGAGATTATCAGTAACTGTTAAATTTACTTCATTTCTTCATTTATTTTAACATAAAAATAATTCATTTACTTATAAGATTTTAAGCGTCAGAAAGAAAAAATTCTCTCAAAACTAATAAAAATGTGTGCCTAAATTTAAAGCAAAAAAGAAAAAACAAAACAATTTTTTTTGTTGTTATTAATGAAGAATGAAGACAATTAGTGTTAAGTTGTATTTTTCTTTCCTTTTTTACTAAGAATGAAACGATTTTTATGAAATTTTTTTGCCAAATTTTTCATAAAAGTTTTTTAATTAACAAAAAAAAAAAAAAAAAAACAAAAAAAACTTTAAAGAGACTTGATTTTGTACTACTATTATTAGGAATAATTAATAATTAATTAGAATTAAATGTGTAGTTATTAAATAGAAAGTTTTTATACGTAAGGAGTATACATATTTATAGGAAACTACAACAAAATTATAATATCTGCTAATCACCATTTTTACACAGACTGTACTAACAAAGACGTAGCATATTAACTTTTTATAAATATATTTGTATAAACATATATAAAAATTTAAATTAAAAGAAGACTAACTAAAACAATTGTGTGATCAAAAGGTAAGGGGCCTAATGTATGAAAAATCCTATTTTGAAATTATTACATTTCATGAAAAGAAAGCAATTTGAAGCTAATTCCGCATATGCACAACCAAAATAAATAATAATAATAATAATACAAAGAAAAGAAACTAAACCTTTTGATTGCAGAATCAAATATGTTTGTGTAAATTAATAATTTTGACTTAAAGTTAAAACTTGTATCTAACAGTTTTTTTATTTTTAAATTTAAAGTTTCATTGTTTAGTTCTTATTTTAAATTCCATTAAATAGGAATATTTATATACACGCATATATATATTTTTATTAAAAAAAATTGATTTTTAAATGCAACTTTTGTTTACAATTTAGTTATAAGTTTTTTTTTTATTGGCTATATTCGATAGTTTAAGTGCAATCTATTGAAATTTCTTTATTATTACAAAAAGACAACATTGAAAATTTTGTAACTTTATTCCAGTGCTTTGTTTGAAAGAATTTCAAATTTATATTTTAGTTAAATTCTTTTAAGTTGTAATAAAAATATACTTATTATTACAAAAATCCTGCAACAGGATTTAAATTTTTATTAATACTTTTTACTAGATATGCAATAAAAAAGATTTAAAAAATTTAATAAACAAATATCCCACCTCCTACGCCCCATTAATTTGCGTTCAATTCAATTTTCTTTTCGTTTTTCATTTTATTTTTACAGCAATGAAATAATAGCCATAATAATAAACCGTTAATAAAGTTGATATTTTAATTTTTCGTTTTTGTTTTATTTTTACTTTAATTGCTTATCGCTGTTTAGTTTAATTTTTAATAAGCCGAAACTTGCAATCCACTTATTTTGAAATTTTTTCGCTGGAATGACTGTTTAATGCAAAATAATTGAGTTATTTTGTGTTGTATTTAAATCTGAGCTTTATACATAACATCGAAAAGCCTTTAAATGCAATAACAATAATCTTGAACATATTGATCGCCTTGTTATAATCCGAAAAAGTCAAGTCAGATTCAAAATTTTTAATGGCTAAACCTTGAGCGCACATCTAATCTCTGCAGCTATCAAACCTTGACTAAAGTCTCCACGGGCCTTGGTTTGGTTGATACTGAGAGAGAGAGAGAGAAAACTCTATACGTTGCCTCGATGAACCATCTAATTAAACAATCCCGGGGTACATCTAATAAAAACATACAATTTTATTTTCATTATTTCGTAATTTCCCTTAAATTTTTTACCCGACCGTTGTATCTATCAATATGCATAATAACCCAAATCAAGTAAAACAAAACAAAAAAAAATTGACTGAAAGTATATTTGTGCACAATACAATTAAAATTGTTTCACTTGCTCCTCGCCAGCTATATAAGAGTGCTGAAGGTGTAGATCGTTTGATAATGATTACAAAAATATATTAATAAATAACCGAAATAACAAAAAATACATGAAAATTCTAAGGACACAAGTCTCGCAACTCGTAAGACTTGTATTATATTTATATATTTTGTGAGCATTTTGCTATTTTGTAAATAAATTATTAAAAAGTATTGAAAAGACATATATTAAAAATTTAAATAAACGTAGTAAGCAAATTCTTTTTGTACATGAGAAAAAAATTAAAAAAGGAAGTATGAATGTTGTATTTAAAACCAAAAAAAAAAAAAAAAATGGACTTTTAATTTCTCCGGAAGATCCATTGAATATACCAATATCGCTATATGGTACTAATTTGTTACAGCTGAGGGAGAGAGAAAAGCCTTGTCAACTATATCGACTTGTTTCGAAAATTTGCATTTAAATTGCGTCGCAAAAGATGGCGCTCAATTTAACCCGTTCATAATTAAAGAAGTTTTAGTGTGTGTAGTAACGCCTAGGTATGCTATGGCTGTGTCTGTTTGACAAAGCTTGGTAGAATCTCTTAAACTTTTCGATTCCTCTTCAAATACGGCTGTGGATACTTAATTTTTTATCTAAGCGTATATTGGTGATGGATACTAAAAAAGTTGAAATATATGGTGATATCCCACAAAGCAGTTGTTTAAGCCCCATACTCTTCAATCTATACACAGCTTCTTTGCATGATCTTCAGGATGACAAAACCCATATTTTTCAATATGCAGGTGATTTCCTAATTGTATGTGTGGACTCATCTTTTACAGCTGCTGTCAATAATCTCTCGATCTCGATTTATATTTTAACCCCAGCAAAAAAATATACTACTTATTTTACCAAAGGTTCTAAACGTGGAATCAGGCTTTTCATCAAAGGTATTAAAGTTGTTCAGTGAAATCTCTTCGATTTGCTGGTAGAGTTTTAAATGACAGCTTAACTCTTCGTGGGCATTATGAGAAAGCCTTCAAAGACTGTCAATCTGGATGTAAAATCATCAAACTCATGACTAACAATCAGTCCTTGCCTCCCAAATATGCTCCGACTGTATACAAATCTTTAGTCAGATTCAAAATTGAATTTGCACATTCCACATATTGCAATTTCCCAAAATATATTGGGAAACGTATACAAGCATTTGAAAATCGAACGTTAAAACGTTGTACTGGACCCAATGTCATATCTGGTGAGTGGCCCCTTTCCGAAAGAGCTCTTTTTCGCCAAAGAGTCAATTAAGATCAAGATGATGAATCCTTCCTTTTTTAAGTAAGTTATATCTCTCAGTGGCCTTGTCTCTTGCAGCTACACTTTTTGCTATCAAAAACTTCGTCATATTATTGATAAGAAAGATTCAATTCTTCTCTGGAATTTCATTACCAACCAATGTAGAGTCTTCATGAACATTCTCGAATCGAACTCTACCTCAAAACAACACGTCAACTCCTCTTGTATTAGGATGTTAAGCCAAGAAAAGGTCCTTTTTTATTACAACAACGCCTGCCATATGTATGCCGCCGACGGTCCCGTCGGACATAATGTATCTGGCTCCTCGGTTGTAAAACATCTATCTAAAAAAGTATATCGAGTAAAAGCGGCGGAGGAACTTTCCTCGACTTTTATTGAGTTGCTCGCCATCCGACATGCTATTAAGGTTGTAATCTCTGATGGTATCAAAAGGTTTGTTATTTTTCCTGATAGTAAGTCAGCTCTATTTCTAATACATAAAAGAGATGCAGAGAATCAATATGTGTTTGAAATTCATAAGATGTTGCATGAGTCACAAGTGGATCACTGCCAACTTGGCCACTGCGGCTTTTTTTTAAATGTAAAAGCCGACTTTCATGCAGGGAGAGCTCCTGTTGATGGGACAATTTTTTCCCATCAAATATACTCCCAATGAAACAATTCGGGCAATTCGCAACCACATCCTTCAACAGCTAAACGACGAATTTAAAGTAACCGCGCGCGTTAAATCCAATCGTCTTTTCTATAAATTAAATCCCACACGTCAATTCAAACCCTTCTCTGTATCTTCCTTTAATTCCTGGGAAATCAAAATTCTTTATAGACTCATGAGTGGTCACACTTATGACAAAGTTTATTTAAAAATGATTCGCGCTATACCATGTGATGTTTGTGAAATTTGCAATGTTGTTGAGTCTGCTGAGCATCTAATGTTTTACGCTCAACTCATGTTTCAGTTATTTCAGAAGTAACCACCATCGCGTTCCCAGCAAGTAAAACAACTGCTGCTGTTTTTCGATCAACACTTGCTTCAGTTATTTGAGAAGTATATAACTAATATTGAAGCCAAGAACGCCGTAGACGTCTTGCATTTATTTCTGTCAAAGTAACTTAATTGCTTTACTTTTTTATGGGATTGATAGTATCGTACAAATGAAGATAGCAAGCCGAAATTTCGCACTTACAATCCCCAATTAGTTCCTGAATGAACTTGTCATGAAAATTCTTCTTCTTTGGAATTTATGTAGCGTATACGTAATTTCTCTGAAATTTCTTATCTCTTCGAACTTTCAAGTTTTGAATGCATATTTTTTATACATTTATATAAAAAAGATTATATATTATATTTCAAGCACTTG